CAGCAAACGCATACTTCGTATTATCGGTGACGACAGGTGGATCTATAGAAAACTATTCTACGCTCTCGAGAAATACACTCATTTGCAAATCAATTTTGTCTTCACGAGAGACTCAACTGAATCTCTCGTTTATGATATTCTACAACCGCCTCATGTTTCAGTTGGCACCATATTCGAGATACTGCAGTATATTTTCATAGAGGAAACTACTCACAAGTTGGACTGTCGAAGAGTTTTCAGCAACCTTGTGAGTAGTTTCCTTTAGGAAAATATTCTACGCCCTCTTCATCCACTTTATTGGCCCATGAACTGCTACAGTGAAGAGCCCCTTACGAGGTGAAAAAGGATTGTCAATAATCTGCATTAGGGTTCGCGAGCTCTAACGGAGTGTCATTCGAAAAATTGTTTCTCATCATTAATTATGCATATGCCTTCCTCGTGGTTGACTTATCGGAGTGCGTCCGGTTCTTACGTGAGTGGGATGTGTATTGAGATATGTCTACTGATTTCCCCTGAGAATAGCTGACCAACCCAACCCCATCTACCCGGAGGAAAGTAATTACTTTAGTCAGGTTGATAGAAACAATCGACCAGTTGGAATGCGCCACACTTGTGGAGATGAACATCTAACGATTTCGTTGAGTCGGATGCTTGCTTCTGTCTGCTATCCAGTTAACTGGTGAAAATCAGTAGATTCACCTCCCCAAAAGGTTTTATGACGAGTTCCGCCAACCTGAGTATTGTGGCCAAGCAAAGTTTTTGGCACGAAAAGAACATTGGCACGTGGGTCTTGGATATCTTCAAATTTACTGTTCATTGTCCCCCATGCTAAAACCAACAAGGGGGACAATAAAGGTAGTTTGTTTGGTGGTTCTTTTTAGAGGGCAGGGTAACCCTGCGAGCAGATACTAGACACAGTTCTTAAAAGACGGAATTATAAGATTGCTTGTTCCACGTCAAACGTAGGAACACAAAGTCCACACCTGATTCACTCTGTATCTGCCTAAAGATTACCAGTTGATTTTCTCAGCATCTGAATTAAGCCCCATGCGTGACATTTACGATGGGTCTACAATGGGTCCCTCAACCATCCTAAAGAAATTGATGTAACTCGACGTAGAGTAAGAGCAACTCTGGCTCATCCAATGTAGTTGCTCTTGGACTCAGCATTTGTAAAATACACCAGATCAAGGAAAACATGGGTCAACATAAAAACTGATTAATGCGTGGCTGCACAAGTCGGAGAGATCATTTAAGAGACGAAAGCTAGGTTGCATGAAAACAATCGATAACCAGAACTGGGTGAAATGCATTGCTTGACCACTGGCTGTTGACGAGCTAAACGGTCGGTGGAACTAAGATCAGGCTAAGGCAAATAAACGTCGATAACCCTGGTCGGAAGGATCTGGCAACTGACCCACATGACCGAGAGAAATACAACCATATCCCGTCGGTTTTGTTCGAGCTAAATTAACTAAAATGAAATAGAAACCTGCATTCTGCATTCCAAAATATCCAAACAAAATGATAGTTCACTACCATACTACAGCAAGTATACAATACGGTTCTTACTATTCACTATCCCAAGATGAAGTCACCCTGTAGATGAAACATTTTGGACCCTCCCGTATTTGATCATCGAGAGGATACTGTATTTTGTTTTGGTTTCAATACCGTAAATCGATCATGTTTTGCGATTTGAATTGGAAGTAAACAAAGTCAGTCGACATATGAAGGAAAAAGCCGGATATACCGCCTTTAATACAGGAACATGTTTCTCGCAAAACCAAATTTGTTTGAAAATGAGGGTATTTCGTTAATTCCGGGCAATCTGGTTTCAAATTGAACATGAGGTTGACGAGAACTCGGGGACTGCGCCTACGTGATTAACCTCAGGGAGGACAAAACCGGTCGTGGGCTGTCGAGGAATTTTCGGCAACCTTATGAGTAATATATTACCTCTACACATATTAAGACCTAGTTTTGCACACAAACTTGATGGATCATCGTCATCTGACGGAAAGCAGGCGGTTTTGTGTACCAGGACTCAGAGCGATGTTTCGGACTCTACAAGGTGGCCAACGGACTGGATATATCCTACGATTGATGCTACCGGTTTCTGGTTTCGTCTGTATTGTAAAATATTTGCCGCGAAAAACACCGCCGTTTAATCCCAATCGTTTTGCTCGGGTGTTTACCAAGCCAACATCAATTACGTCTTGTGCCGGCATGCTTATTTTTATCCCAATAACCCCCTTCTTAATAATAGGAGGATTGAAAACTAAAAATCGATCATTACTTACCGGAAGTATGCGTTTCAAACATTGAAGCAGGCTTTCAGTGACTACACGCTCTTCAGAACGAATGTAGCCATCTGCAGAATCAATCTAAATATGATTTTTTGCATAAATTTTCAGTGGTCTTCACATTCATTCTAACAATGGATAACTGAGTTTCAGTCATTTGAATTGCACGTTACAAACTAAGACCGATGCTGCAAAGCCTCTGGTAGATTCGCGCAACCGGGAAAAGTAAACGCGGTGAGGAGTTGCACAACGCTCCCAATCCTCAGGATCCAGGCATATTTATCAGGAAACTAGTAACTTTTTGACTTGACGTGATCAGCAAGTTTCCGCTTTGCTTTCACAACACAAATGAACGGAAACCTATAGGCTAATCCGTTTTAAACACAGATTTTTACCGTGACAGCACGTGTATAATCTTTGTAATTGGTGGTCGTTGGCTTACTCGTTGAGCTGGGCGATTTGATTGCAAACGTTTCATCACCAATCGAGGTGATATCATCAGCGCGTTAGCGTGAAGCGTAGCGGTGGGTTGGTGGTTATGCAAACAACCACACCAAATAGAGGTTACAGCCAAAGGATTATCATTTATTGATTGTCCGTACGTATGAGAAAAAAGTAGAAGATACTTATATTGTGTGTAGACCACAGCTACCTAGGAGTTGGTTGTAACTGCAGCGAAATAAGGAAGGAGTCGCATTTATGAGCATCCCACCCTGAAATGCAGAAAAGGTTCACTCCGATACACAATAGAATATCAATCACCCAATTAGTTCGGCTAAAGTTCGAGCTGGAAAACAGAACTGCCAAGATGAGGGAACAACTCAAGCACTAAAATACACTCTGTCCTAAGCAGCTGATGACGTACATTCGGTCTTATTTGACTAACCATCTATCCCCACATGACCTTCGTAAACCAGAACTGTCACGAAGGCCTAATACTTTACAAAATCTGCGGAGTTTCACTTACGAACCCCTTTCCGTTCGTTACGGTAGCGATTTTCCAACGTCTCTACCTCAAAATTATGCCAAGATGATCCAGTAAATCTTGTGCTGATTTGAGCTATTTTGCACTGGCTTGCTGTCGCCACTTTTTCATTTTTCTTCCTCCAAGGAGGCTCATATCTACCAACCGGAAATTCACAATTTGGGTTCACAATGAATGATGAGGTTCAAAGTGTGATACCCCACAAAGTCAGTTTGGATCCGACCAGTCGGCTTCAACCCACATCACAATACAAGCTGAAACATTGTCTCAGCATCAATCGTGAGTGGGTCGGCGAACATAGAGCGGCTCATAGACGTCCGTCCAAAAGTAAGGTTGTATATCTGCAAGGATACGGTGCAATAATCACTGACCTTATTCACTCTACAGTGTCGCACAACGTTGTGCGCACAACCACCAACCCACCGCCACGCACTACTACGCTCCACAATAACGCACTGATGATGTCACCTCGAATGGTGAT